GGAGCATACATGTGCATCATCCTTGAAAGTGCATATCAGCTTTGCGATAAATGGATGATCCAGTTCGGCTAAGATAGCCTTTTCATTCCTTAAGTGTTCCTCTTCCTGCATTCTCACCACCTGTCAGAAGAGGATAAAGTCATTCGATCAGGAGTCAGGACCTGTTGCATATCAAGTAATGTCAGATGGAGTCGTGAAGGACATTGCCCTCTCTCAATTGCCTTCTTTTCTTTTTTTTTTTTTTTTTTTTTGAAACAGGTCCTTATGGTCCTGGCTCCATATCCATTCTGGGGAGCGTCAGTCTGGTTCCTTCCCACTGGCAAGTCAAAAATTGAGATACATGGTGAACACTCTCACGTTTCCTTCCGTCTGGGCGAAGGAACCCTGATCAGCATTGATTGCTCCCAATCCGGAGGATTGACTGTCAGCTTGCCATTCCACTTTTCCTCTCAGAATCTATTGTGACTCTGTCGGCTGATTAAAGCAAGAAAAGAGGAGAGTTGTCCATACTGTTGAGATGAGAATCTCAGTTTGCCCATCGCTGGTGCACCATCCTTATTGGAGGTGTGCTATGCCATTTCTTCCAAATCAATCTGTTATCTGTCACAGTTGCAATCTTTCCCTGAAGAAGCCAGTTTCTCATGAAAATCCGTCTCTTGATGGCTATCCTTTCTGGTCTGCCTTTCGTTGTTGATGTCATCTCCCTCCATCTGGAACGAACCTCAGTTTCGGCCATTCCCAGCAACAGTACCCACTTTTTTTTTTTTAATCGAACACATTTGAAACTTGATGATCGTTTGATGTCAACAACATCCACCATTGCTGAAGCAATTCTCCTGTAATGCGCACTGTCTCTTGCTCTTTCCAGCATCACCAGTGGCGTTTTGTGCCTTGCCTGCTTCCGCCGCAAGCCTTTGCTAAATTCATGCAACGCCAGCCATTCAACCTCCCTCTTAGCAATGAAGCCTCTACACCCAGGACCTTCTGGTTTGCGCATAGCAGTCATTCTCGCCTGGATCAGGAATGCCATCAATGGAACTTCATTGCACAGAGCAAAAAGGCCTGGTTTGCAAAACTGGACCTTATGGCCCAGGCTCCTTTTCCATTCTGGGGCGCATCAGTCCGGTTCCTATTCCACCGGCAAGTCAAAAGGATAATACATCATAATTACAGACACACGCTTCCTTCCGTACAGCCGAAGGACCCCTGACCAGCATTGATTGCTCCATCCATGAGGAGGATTGACTGTCAGCTTGCCGTACTATACCCTTTCCTCTCAGGTCTGCCGCACTAACCTGACGTATAGGGCCCGAATACCAAGAAAGGATCTCGCCACTTCCACAACCTCCATCCCTCAACACGCCCTGAACCCCCCTATTTTCTGACTAGGTAGATGCAACATTTCCCTTTTTCCTAAAACCCTTTATTGCCTACCAATCAGCATTCACTCTGTCTCCGTTGATTCAGTCCGGCCCTAACCTCAGCCATCTTGACCAGTTACCATCTGCCTAAGACTACTGTCTTGAGCCGTTTCGACTGGCCAAACCCTACAACCATAAGTCCCCGAGCCGTTACCCGAAGACTAAGGTCCTTAAACCCTAAACCCTCCCCTACTCCTCCTAACGGCACCCCTTCCCTATTGTACCTCCACTAATAAAACCCTGATGACTGAGATCCCAGGGTACTTTTTATGATCTCCGCTCCAACTGTAGAGCATGTGAGGTCGTTTGACTTATCGATGATGATGGGAGCCATCTGTTCCGCCTTATCTCAGCATCTTAAACCCTTCCGACTGTGTGTCCAGTGTGGAACAGTCTTTGCCGTGCCGGGAAATGATTGAAGTCCTCTCCTCCAAGTCTCACCCTCTAGTTCCTTTGGCTTCCTCAGTGACTCACTCACCTGGCGCCCGACACCTGATGTGTCCCTTCATCACTTCAGTTCCCCTGCCCATCCGTCGCTGGCATGAACTGGGCTCTCCGATCTGTTTCCGAGTTGTGCCAGTCTTTCCAGTACACTCTGTCATTCCGTAACTCGGCCACCTTACCATTCGCCAGCCATTGCTTGGTGAACTTCTTCCTGACCTTTTCTTGCTGCTCCTCATCCTCAGGCATCGATTGTTTTAACCTCTGCCATCTGCAGAGAATTTCAGCCTGTAGTAAAGATCTTGTCTCTGCCCATACCTTATCTCTTGGGTTGGAGAGTCCTTCGATAGTTCTGCAGCACCTCTCCTTCCAGATGATCCATAACGTTACTTTCCTGATCAGGCCGAACCACAATTTTTCCGTCTTTTGAAGCTGATCCGGGATGTTAGTCCAGAGGAGGATTTGGATGGGGTGTTCGGGGAAGGGGGGATGGAAAAGGGAATCCAAGAGGGCTGAGGCCCGTGCCCAGTAGTCCGTCGCTTCGCTACATTGGATCAGGCAGTGAATTATGTCCTCTTGAACCCCTTCTGCACAGACTGTGCATAGGTCTGAGCTAGTGGGGTCAGTTTTATGCCGTCTTATATGCAGCCATTGATTCACTGGCAGTGCTGCATAGATGATAAGACACTGAAGGCTTCTGATTTTTGTAGGTCTGATTGTTTTACATTTCTTGCAAGGGATCTGTGTAATTTTGTCGGCTTCCTGGCCTATTAGTTTCTGCCATCTGCTTTTGATTACGGGATCTGGGTCCTTAGTTTTGATTAGAAGTTTGTAACCGAGTTTGACTGTGTATTCGTATACGGGGACAGTGGACTTGATATTCCTCTCCCTGTCCGGTGTCCAGGCCCACTCTGCCAGGTCGAATTCCAAATTCTGGACTGGCGTGTCTAGCCTGAAGATTGATTTGGGCCACGATCTGAGTACTCTTATTTTCCTAAGGAGAAAGGAGTCCAAGACTACTAATTCCACCTCTTTATTTAGCATGGATGGCATGCCGTGCGTGGATGGGGAGATCGGGAAGGAGGAGAAAAGGGCTGTAGTGGTCGATCCCGGTTGCATATGGGAGAATTGGAAGGCTCATAAGGGAGGGGATTCTTGCACCTTGACCCCCCACTCTCTGGTCTTCCAAGGCAGCGCTTCGGCCAGGATATCTTTCCAGTCTTGTGGGATGAGGCTAATAATGTATTGGAGGTTAGGTCCTCCCCTATGGCATCCCTTTAAATGTGTGCTCAGTTCGTGTTCAGTTAACCACTCTTTCTTTTCCTCGCTGGGCTACCGAACAGGAGCTACGAAATGTCTTAAAAGGCTGTCACTCCCTCGCTGAAAACCTAACGTTGGTCCAGAAGAGTATCCCAGTACAATGGCTCTCCCTCCTAAGGGAGGACTTCTCATGGAAAGCTGGGGATTAGGGCATACGCATCTCCCAAACCCAGTCTACTAGAGCATATCGATTCGTCTCTCGAACCAACCCACTATGCTACCTATCTAAATTCTACTCATACCCCATAGCTAATCACAACCTACAAGAGCTGGAAATCCAGAACAAAGATCCCCAATGCGACACACTTGAAACCTTCCGACTGAGAAAAGTGAGGGTTTCAAACTCCAAACCCTGGAAAATCTTCCAACCGGACCTCAGCATTTCAGACCTTGAATTCGACCTGAAAGAGTGGGTTTGGAAGCAGGGCAAATCCGGGAAAATGAGAACGATATTTGATTACGATGTCAAATTTGGCTATGAGCTGGGTCTGCAAACCACAGACCCGGACCCCAGACTCAAAGGAAAGCGGAGGGAGATCCTGAATCTCGATCCCACGGATCCCATTTCCATCCCATGGACGAGTACCTGACCATTAGACCGGTCAGGATTCGAAGCATGCAGTGGCTCCTGGCGCATGCATCGCTGCCGGTCAATCAATGGCTCCACAAGAGGAGGAAATAGACTGACCCTGACAGCTCTGAGCTTTGCAGGCTATGCACAGACAGTATCCCGAAAGTTATACCCCACTTCCTACTGTACTGCAGGGAAGCAACATGGATATGGAACAAGGTGCACTACCTATGGACCCTCCTCTTCTCATCACCCCCTCCGCCCACAACTCCCCTGAACATCCTGCTCCTTTCCAACATTACTAACAATCTCAAAGGCGGCAAGGAAGTATGGTTTCACCTGCTCAGGAACCTGGCTCTATGGGTAATCTGGAAAAGGAGGTGTACCAAGACGATTGAAGGAACGGAGGTGGCAAGAGAAGAAATGTGGGTACTGTTGCTGAGGATACATTCAGAACTGGACACAGAGGAGAACTCTCTGAAACGATTCGCGCTAGCGCCGCGCCGGTCAGCACTACGCAACCTCCAGCATTCACACGAAAGCTTGTCGCGCACCCGCGCACCATAACCATTGCGCGCGTGCGTGCGCACACGTGCGTACGTGAAGCAGTCATGATCACGGGACTTCCGTCGTGCAACAGAAAGGAGAGCACGAGGCGGGGTTTTTGACTCAACCTTGGGTCTCTACCATCACCAGAAGGAGGGAAACGCCACATGCCCGTATCTTGGTTGTGGTCGAAGATTTGGTCTGAAGACAGGCAAAGAGTTATCCAGACGAGCAAGAGGCATATGGTTCATTTCGACCTTGTGCTCCCATCATTGGCAGAAGGATCGAAAGAGGGAATTGCTACATGCCCGCATTGGGGATTTGGTCGAGGAACTGGCCTAAATACAGGCAACGAGTGATTCATACGAGTGAGATCCAACCTTCTATAGCTTACTAACCCCCTTCCCTACGATCTGTCCCTCTTCTATCCCTCACATTCGTCGCCTCTCAACTTTACCTTTCTGCTTCGTCCCATCCTCGGCCCTACTCCCAATTATCCCTCCGACCCACCCTTTCTTCATACTTGTTTATTCCGACCTATCGATACCTCCGCTTCCTTCTGCCCAATCTGGTCAACAGGGATCACTCCAAGTCCCTTCCCCACCTCCTTTCTTTCCCATCGCCGGTTTTCCCCCGAGCATTTTGAGTTGGGTCGAAGGAACGGACTAAATACAGGCAACCAGCAATCCATACGAGGGAGATCCGACCTTCGACATCCTAGTAACGCCTTCCCTGCAACCTACCTCCCTCCCCATCCCTCTTGCTCCTCGCCTTTCAACGCCACTGATCGGCCTTGGGTCACTCATGACCTTACCCCCAAC